GACCGTAGCAGAAGCATATTGAAAATATGTATTGCCTCCCCGAAGACACTGTAAACCGCGACGCGCCGTGATGTTATCTTATCCTGTCGGCTGTAGGTAGCAGTTCCACAATCCACGGCCATTGGAATAGTCGCCGAAACCTAAACTCACCTGGTTACCAGGACACGGCGGGTAAGGTTTGTCTCAATGTTATGAGACTATTTAGGTTGTCAAAATTGTATTACACGTTGCGTGTTGCATTATGATGAGTAACCTCAAAGTGGACGGCGATTCACATAAAAGTGTACGTTGGGGTTCCGAGCAGGTAGACCGTGGCTGAAGCAAAAACTATGGGGTTTCCCGCCCTAATATTTGCATGGCTATGACGCGGATTGTGGTCGCAATCCAATCACGCAACGTGTAATGATAAATTGACCCTCCATTTAATCCTTTGCCGTTGTGACAAGCGTTACCCGCCGTGACCCGGTTACCAGTTGTCGCTGTGTCTATTTGATGAGATAAAATGACATCCAAAATGGTCGCAATTGTGCAGGGCTTTCGGGCAGAGTGCACACAATTATCATCTGCTTTGGCCACGGTCCTAGTGATTGCAGTGACCAAGGTCCACTCCCAAGTGAATCTCAATCCACCTTCTGTTTGCACATCACAAACCTAGTACCCAAACAGTAAATCAAATGAGACCCTCCAATTAATCCTTCACCATTTTATAAATCGTTAAATTTAGTGACCCGGCTGCCCAAGGGGTGGAGGATTCGGTACCTAATCACATGGTACATGATATAACAAGCTTTCTGCTAGCGCCAGCTGCACAGTGTGAATTCTGCATCTATTTTGGGTACACCTTCATTTCTAAGGAAATACGCCGGCTTTTCGCGTACACACACGCCTCGATCGTCATTGCGGAAGATTGGCCTACAATCTAGTCTAGCCGTGTCAGACAAACCAGGCACATATTTATCGAAAATATTTAGTTACTAGTTAATTTGTTAATAACTAATTTTTAACCAATTTCTTTTTTCTGTCAGCGGCGCTCTTATTTCTTCCCAGAGCTCACTAATATATCGGACCAATGAATGCGTTACAACGGACCAAATGGTTTGTAGTGTAATTCAGCGAGAGATGAATTCGGCTTCGTAAAACAGAGTGCATAATTACGGTCTCGTGCGCATTATTGCCGCACTAAATCTCCCGAAGACAACAGGCGACGTAAACATTAGCTTGATAATTCTAATAACTGCAGCAACATTGCTTTAAAAATAATTACTTCAGTGCTTGGTATGGTTAACCGGAACAAGATGCCAATAATTTAATGCCAACACCATCCATGCAAGAGCACGAGATTTGGGAACATATGGAATTTAGCTGTAGCGTACACTGGCTCTAGTCACCGACTAGCAAGTTTTCATCATATATATACTATTATTTCAAATGTTACATGGTTCACTAATCTATTTTTACAACCGTCCACCTGTGAGAACGCCTAATGCCCATCAGCCTTCTAGAGGGACGATCTTTTGTTACACCTGCAAAATACTCTCAGTATTTACATCATCAGATGTTAATGTAACTTAAGCTTCCATAAGTCAAATTGTTTTAGTATCTTTACATTTGCTTTGACGAATTTATTTCATATGTCGGTGTTTCACTTTTCCACGCACATGCTTGTTCACTTCCTATTGCATGCAGCCTCCAGAATATGCGTTGTGTCTATGTGCCCCATATTGTCTACTGTTCCTATTCGTTGTTTACTAGTTACACACATGTGCCACCCCACAAACCTTCTGCCTGCATTTTAGGATCAGGATGCTAACAAAGGGTGCCACGAGGTTAGAAATTGTAATTTGAGACTTTAGGATAGTTTAGTTCAGAACATTAGGTGCTAAACCTGAATACATGTTATTTACATTCAAATACTTTCGGTGTCTACACTCTCAAATATTGCATTTTCAGAGATACAAACGAAGAAGGTTCAGTGGTATATGTGGCACGCAATATCACATGGCAACGCACCTGATATACTTTGTCCGCCTCAAATACCAGAAACGTTTAGGCCGTTACACATTAAAAACTACAACACCTACTCAAAGGAATAAATGAAATATTAAGTTGTTTTATTATCCTGAAATTTTCAGCAACCTAGAGGGTGTACGCTTAAGCCGCGCTGAAAAGGTTTTAGCTTTTATTTCCCTTTTTCCTGCGACAAGTGAAATGTCTCCGATTGTGTAATAGAAGACCGCCATAAGGCGTTGCCAAGTTTGCATGTACGCAGCGCACAAACGATAAAAGTTTCCAGTAATAAGACTGCTGGACTGCCCATTATAACTGTTGAATTTGATCTGGAACAACTAAGTGCGATTAGTCTTGAACGAACTTCAGTTTATCAAAAAAGGCTTATGTACACATTTGACGTAAATGCAATTTTCTGTTCTCAAATCCCTTCAATAGTAGGGGAATCACTTTCATATTCGCAATGACGCCGGCCTGAATACTTACTGGCGCTAGGAAACTATTTTGAATACCCAATTTCTTTCTAGATGCGTCTAACAAAGTCAACCACACAAATATAATACAATCAGACTGCAGCAGTTTCACAATAACTCATGCCTCTGACTGTAGATAAAATTAAGTGTGCTGAATGTTTAGGTACACTTTGGCGTTTGTGATGTATGTGACTTATTGTCAACTTTCCACATATTAGCACTAGTATCCATTAATGCTATTGCGCAAAACATCCTCTGTTGCGGTGACATTGAATACGCCGAAAATGAAATGGCCAATAAAATTTGTCTCTGGGCACAGCGTATCAAAGTCGCAAGGCCTTAAGGTCAAGTACACAAGAAAATTAAGCAACAAATATTATACACTTCTAAACTTGCGAAAATCATCGGACGTTGGATAAAAGACCTAAGGTGCTAGTCAGAATAAAATTTGTTCCCAGAAAGAAACAGATTAGATGGAGTAGAAAGTAAATAGTACAAATGGCGGTGTGTTGCAAATGTTTTACTTTTTGCCAAAATTGTTGTTTATGGGTACAATTTCTGGCTATTATACGGCCTCTAACGCGCAGTTATCGGGCCGTTTTATGCCAGGCATACGCTTCGATGATCGCGTACATGGCGGATAGTTCAATACAATGTCTGTAACCAATAATGCGGCAGGAATCCCGCAATTACCCATCAGCCCTGCTAACATTGTTGATGATTGAATACCACTGCAACTTTTTGGTATCCATTTGAATAATTTATTGATAGGCTTTTATTAGCGATATATATTTCTAGTACATATGCATGTAAACTTTATGACCTGCGCGTGACCGATACATATTTTCTTTTACCATGTATTTCTTTTTGTTCTGATTATGTTCGATTTTGACTCATGGAGTTCTACTATTCGTTTTGTAATAAATTGGAGTCCTGTATTAGTTAGCTTCAGCACATCGGACCTCTTTCTGTTAATATCATAGTAGGAACATGGTACTTTACAATAAGTTTGAAGCATACATATGTATCGGCCGACATTCATAATCAACTATTTCGAGCTGCATTATCTTAGTTTTTATATTTTATTATCAATGGTTAAATTAGGCATTTTTAAACTGAGTAAGTGTGCATTTATTTGTGGTAACTGTTTGAACACAGTTCCCAAAGGGCTACTGAAATGTAGACTTTAAGAACTCCATAGTTTTTATCATAGAAAGTAAACCGTAGATCAGATAAAGAATTAGTGCTTTTACCAAGAACAAAACAACTGGAAAAGGCTGTAAGCTATTTGTCACAAGGAAAGATAATTGAATAATTTCTTCCGTTTGACTTCATGTTGAGCAAGAATTTCCGCAGCTCTATGAAGAAATAAGAAGCATTTTTTTACTTCAAAAACATGAAATTATTTGAACCGCAAGTAAATGCGCAACAAAAAACGACGTACTTTAAGCGAGATTGTTGGGATAATTATACAAGGCAATAACTGCAAATATTTAGCAACATTGGCCAGGGCTTGATGGATGGACCATGAAAATGTTAAGCATTCTGCCACTTACTTAAAAGTTTTGTCTCAAGTAACTTACGTTTATTGTCAACTTGGCTTTGTTAAAATGACAACTGTTGTTTTTAATAAATTAATTGACCTAATGACAATTTATATGCTACTAGTTCAGCTAAGCATCACAAGGAATTTAAAAAAAGCTTTTCCAACTTGAGCTATTAGGCTCTTTGGTTATGGCACTTATTGTCAACTGGATATTAAACTGGATAAAAATTACTGTCACTGCAGATAGAACTATTCTAACCGATACTTAAACTTTTCAAGTCTGCAGTGTTTAAAACACATAAGTAATTCATAATTTTAAGTATTATCCACCAATACTTTAAGTATGTTACACAATTTGTGTTCACACTTTGAATAACGATTTGCACACGGTTGTTAAAACACAATACTGCGGACATCCCGACATATAAAATGGTGATAATGTGCAAAGATGTATGCCTAATGAGTACATTTTGAATAAAGGCTGTTAAAGTAGTCGTCCTTTACGGTTAGGACGAAATCTATTAGGACATATTCGGTCTTCCTGACAACAGTGATAAGCTATGCGACAAAAACAGTAACAACATTTTGAAATACTTGCTTCTCAATCTTCATTTAATAGCTTGACAGAACTTATGGAAAATGAATTGCAGTTAAACGTACCGAATATATTGTTTTTAGTTTTTATTTGTTTGTTTTATTTGTTTCGTAACAAACAGGAATTTGATTTAGACACATCGCGTAACTGTTGAATACTGGATATTCTACTCTTTCTTAGGTGTAAGAGGATTACAGCACTTTTAACTTAAATCAATATTTTAGGTAACAATTTCCGTTTAGTTTTTAAATTAGCGGGATTTCAATACCACACACTAGTAAGGCTGAAAAGTGCTTAATATGTTATATTTTTTGTTATGTAATAGTATTATAAGAGGAAAGCTTTTTCATACTTATAAGAAGTATTTTTCGGCAAAACGGTACAATCGCGCACGAAATGCTTTATCCTTAAACATAACGAAACTTACCCTAGCTAGTTGTAACGAAACCGTTATATTTACACCCTTGATCATTGAATGCGTATATCATTCTACGATGTGTATCAACGTAATTTGGGTAGTCAATTAAATAAACCGGTTTGACAGATTTTAATACGTGCAAGAAGTAGTTGCCTGAGCTTTTTGACGCATTAACGTAAACTTGTCGATCACATGTGGAAAACATTTTTGAGTAGTCTTCCTGATAGTATTCCCTTGCCTGTTTTAAACGAAGTGAGAATAAGATAACGCATTATTGTTAAAAGTATAAAAGGTTAGAAACCTTTAAAACAATATATTTTTGATTTGTCTTTTACAGCTATGGATTTAGCCTCCCCTGATTATATTTTGAAATTAAACCGGATCCACTCATGTCACATAGATTTGGTTGCTTACGTTCACAGTGGGTAGCTAAATATGGTGGGATGAACATTTAAAAATGTCGGCAAAACGAATATTGCTAATGAAAGTAACTACCATGATCTACTTTAGCCTAAAGTTTAGGCGCAAGTGTACAATCGCGGTGTAATCAGCGAAAAACATTTACAAAATCCTCAAAAATTACATATAACCAACTGCACAGAGCAACGCTGCATGTGCCATTGTTTAAGACGAGATGCGTTTTCTAAGTTTTACCTCTTTACAGTATTACGTTAGTATACTGCATGTCACTAAACTTTTGCTGGCACAGAAAAATAAGGTTGTATTTTTGTAATTGGATAATTTGCATTTATTGATTTCACTTTGAGATATATATACATATCAAAGAAACAGGTCAAGTAACAGGCATTAATTACAATGACTTGACTACCTCGAAAATCGGCTAGTGAATTTAAGCTAGAAATAGCAGAGTAAACATACGGTTCCGCTTTAGCTGTTGTGTACCCCCCTGTGTATGAATTGCTGCGGACAATAAAAGTCATTTACACATTAAAGCTAACCTCTAGCTATTTAGGTCAGTAGACATGCATCAAAAATGTAATTATTCCTGGGATTATATAAGCTATACAATAGCGTTGATGCGGCTTAGGCGTATTTGATTGCTTATTATTTAACTTAAACATTAGTACCAGGCTGAAAGCGCGGATAAAACAATAACCGAAAAGGTTAACTTGTTTACGCCTAATGCCTTGGCACCCTGTTAAAACACCTTCCGGCAGATTAATTATTCTTGACATATATTTCTTAAGAATTTGCGGCTGGTTAATATTTTCTTACTTCTAAAATAAGCCTTACTCCACAATTGCATATAAGGCTTGCAAAATCTTCTTTGTGTTAGTACCTAACTCAGACTTTTAACAGATGAAGAAGTATTCTAATATCTAATATATTAAAGCATGGTCCACTTTTATGTTATACGGCGTGTAAAATTGTTTTAGCTTATCACAAACCTTTAGGAAATATTTTGCTTTGTAGGGCAAATGAATTAGAATAGCCCAGATAGTAATTACATGCAGTCATTCTGCTGCCAAATCCAGCGACGCAAACACGGCTTATTCTAGGCAACCTTGCAAAATAGTGATATTTTTCGCCGATAAAATTCCCATCTATCGTACTGTGAATGTCACTTGCAAAATAATAGGAAGGATGTTGCTCAGATTTGTCAAGTCTTGGTTCTTTTATTCTTAACCATACTTAGTCTTGCAAGGTACATATATATATATACATATATATATATATTGTGGGTCCTAGTGTAGTTATTTTAAATAATATTGTCTAGTATTACTTCTTTCTAAGGTTCATTATTGGACTAGCCTTTTCTCATGGTAGTGTTGTGTTTGACAAGCCAATAGTTCCAATTCTCATATTAGACTAAGCATTTTAGTGTTTTCGTCCAGATTACTCAGTAAAAATTGCATTGCTGCAATTTTCCATTATGTGGGCTCAGGCACGATTATCAGTATGTGGAATTGCACTTCATTGTATTTCCTTGCACCATAAGTTCTCGTGTTAGCCGCACAATTCATTTTGTAATTTTCTGTTTCCCCAATACTTACAAATACTTTAAATACCGCAGCTGCCTGCTCATAGTTCGTAGATACACCCACGTGTCGCAGTGGCTTTGTGCAAGCTAAACAAATTGTACCAAAAGCTTCAAGCTTTTTCTTTCGTTGGAACACGATGAAAAGCAATTACTTGTTGCATTACTTCGAAGCAGCCTGCTTTTACATGACCGTGTCTCTTTGTCCTGTACTCCTGCAAATCGGCACTTTTAGACTGTGAGTTCAGAGTGGTCGGTATTTATGAGCAGACCCATGTTCCTGACAGCCCAGTAAATTGTCGTTTCAGATGCCACAGCAGCTTATCGCATCGAGCATATCTTTGAATTCGACAACTGCATGTTGCCTTCGTGAAAAATAATAAGCCACCTTCTGGTCTTAAGATTTGAATCCTTCGATAAGACTTATAAATCTGGAACAATTTAGAATGATATACTTGCTTATGGCCAACAGTGGCCGTAAATGCAACCAGACAGTGAAATATGCTTTGCTTTTCATGTGGGCTTGATCAAAGGAGGTCGCCTTTTATAACGGTGACATTTTACTGTCGAAAGCAGTGGCTGGACGACGTATCAACTATTTTCATCTACACATCGAATTGCTGACAATCGAAATAGACACCAATGTGCACTTTTATAAGGAAATATAACTTACCTTTTTGCAGCCGTCTTCATCAAGTGGACCCGAAAAATACAACGCTGGATAATGGAGCACACAGGTTATATGGGTTATGCTGCTTACTTTATGATAGAATAGAGACCGACACAATGTGACAAAATCACGCGACCTATTAAATTACTCAACTTTAACTTATAAAGGCCTAGTTTAAAGCAAACTATAGTTATATACATACACATACGTACATAAAGAACATAGATATTTTGGAGAATGCAGACAGCAATCTCTGCGCTTCACTAAGATAATATCAACACTAACTAACTTTGTCTAATAGGCAGCGAAAATGAATTAATTAACTCAGTCGAAACTTTGGTTTCGGTATTATCCGATAACGGTATCCATGCGTTTACTCTTGTGAAGAAAGGTTGTTTGCTTTAAAGCTTTTCCCAAAACCAAATTGATGAAAGATATGGGCACCGTTCCGTACTCGGATTACAGGTCATAAATATAAAGCACCGCAAACAATTGATTTGCTTTTTAGAAACAAGTAAACACACTGGCACTACGCCTCTGTAATTAGTTACACTAAAGTTTTGATTTGTAGTTTAAATTCTTGGGATTGGAGCAGTATGCCGAGATCTGCTTTGCGAGTCAATGAATTAAATCTGGACTTCTGTTTGCTCGATTTATGCTCTCTCCTCAGACTTCCATAATTGATGGTATAATTGTACTTATATATTACTTACAGAGTGTAACTGAATATTCTTTCTCCCGTAGTTACAGGTATATAAAACTCACCGCAGTATTCATTTTGCATGCCTTAAAAAATAACAGTTACTTAATTATAATCTTCAAATGCCACTAGAATTTCGGTAAACGTTGAACTCAAATGAGTATTGGAACTAAGACGCAAATTAAAGGGACGCTGTAAAGCAAACCAGTTAATCTTTTTGTTTATACTAAAACGAAACCTGCGCAATAAGACAAATAATACCTTAGTTACATACACAAATATTTATATAGAACAATTTAAAAGTTTTCTCTATGAGCCGGTAAAAACCGTTGTTTTTTCTAATCGCTATGTACTTATCTTATGCAAGCGTTCAATCATGAATAGTTTCTCCACTACACTTTGGATTTTGCATTTCATGATAATTAATAATCGGTTTTGTAAGGAGCAAATAGTTATAGTTCGTTTTGTTAGCGCACGCTGTCGAGTTAAACTAACGCCTTTTAAGAACAAAAGTTGAATTGTTAGACTTGTATTCGTATAATTAAATAAACGTAAAAGACTTAATGTTGCCTATTAAATTATACCTTTTAAGCAATAAAGACTTACCTTTTTGAAATAAAGCAAGTAAATATGCCACATCATAACTGATGCATCCGTCCATGTTGGAGTTAAACAATGATTCTGTTCTCAAAGCAATCTCAGCATTGTTCATTGAATCAAGTGATATTCCGTCTAGTGAGTTCCTTAGCTCCAAGTTTACAATTATTGCATTTCTGTATTCAAGTTTAACTTGAAATACACAGTTGTAAAACGGTCCAGTCCGGATAGCGAATGTATAATGGTGTAGAAACTGCAATGTTAGGAAAATTTAGCATGATTACCCATAGTTAGTTCAGGTGCATCGGATGGTTTGTCCCTTACGGTGCTCGAACAAAAGAGGATATTAGCAGCGCTCATTAATTTACATGCAACGAAACAAAGCTGTTGTTAAAATAGATGAGGCAGTTTTATTACAGCGATTGCTTTTTACCCTTATCAACGTAAGCTGGGTAACCGGTGCTACCGAACTTGTATGGAACAAAACGCGGCATGATTCTGCCAATGTTACACTGAATTATATAAACACAGAATAATGCCAATCCGATAAGCGTCCTATTGAAATGTTGACGATTTGCGTGAAATTAAGTGCCGGAATTTGTAATGTACCGTCAGGTTTTAGTTAGCGCGCTTTGTACATATTCGTGTTCAGAGAAACATTTACTATTTCGTTTGTCATTCCAATTTGCTATGTCGTCATACAGGCCATACAATTTTCTTTACTTTTCATGAAGTTTGGTTATATTAGGACACACCCTTGGGTTGATGCCTCAGCAAAACGGTTGCTATCCACCTCCTCCAGTTACACCTTTGGCATGATATCTAAAAGATAGGAACATCCAGCCGTAAATATCCATCTCATTTGACGCGGTTACTTATATTTATCCTAATTCACCTTGAGTTGCAAATGAATGCAAGGCTCCGCGGTGTTCTTCCTATTTTGAATAATTTAAAAAATGTTGGAGATATAGAATATATACATATATATATATATTTCTTATTTTATATCCATACTTTTTCTTTCAGTCTAACCAATAACAGTTGACGAAAAGAATATCTTATCGTTCCATCGTCTTTCTCGTTAGAAATAAGAAGACTTCCGACGTAATATCTCTTTTTCCTATTTCCAGTCATCCATTTACGGTTAAGAGGAATATCAAACAAACGGAACGATAGCTAGCGCTTGAGTAATAGTAGTGCAGTAACAATGTAAATAGGGATAGTGAAACAAATAGTTATATCAATGAAGTCAGGTGGTAGAAGTTTATACGACACCGCGTCTCGAGCATACCAATAGACAAAAGTCAAAATCAAAAGGGTAGTGGCTGATGAGTAACCTTAAATAATATGAACCCATACTTCTGCTGGTCGGTGAGCGAGGTGCATAAATAATTCTATAAAGATATATATTTGTACACAACAGCCGATCGAAAGAGATACGTGTACACAACTGAGGATATTCTCCCGATATAGAGTAACCAATTACCGCTAAATTCATGCTATATTTGTAAACACCGTTATCTTATTTGGGTTTTGCTGCAAACACGTTGGACACAAGGCTGTTTGCACCCTTCCCGTAATGATGACGGTGAGCGGTTACCTCATTTGTGTGAAGATGCTCGCTTATTTCTTGCGAGCACTAATTTGCGACACAGCACCCGCCGGAGGTTGACTTGGCGCTCACCAGCCTCGAACCAGCCTTGGACGCAGATCGATGACATTGCTGTTAGTTACCACTGGAGAGACTCCATCCAGAATTGTCGCTCCTTTTGGAGCAAATGGGTGCACACCGATCATGTACTTGTATGTGCTGACATGCGGATGCGCTTTGGCGGACGCCAACGACGACGCTGTGAGCGCATTGACACCAGCCAACTGACAAAGCCAGCTGTTCTGAATGCGTATCGAAGTACGCTGACATGCGTGTTGAGTTATCGCTCACTGGAGACAATCGATGGTCACTGGTCACATGTTTGCTAGACCTTACTAGCAGCGGGCAAATCCTCATGTGGTATGTCTAAAAGCCAACATGGACATTGGGTCTCTTCTCGGTCTCTGGAACCTATCGACGCTCGCCGGCATATCCCGGCTGGAAGCGTGCAAAATGAAACTCGCAAAGGGCTCCAGGCAAAACTCCGACGCCAACTTCGAAGTAAGGGTTTTCATTTCTCTCGACCAATTCAACGCTAGTTCTCTCCTCTTTCTATTCCAAACGGCAGCCAAGCGGGCAAACAATATACTTCGCGGGAGTCGCTCTCCTGGCATGCACAACACGTGCTTCAGCCATCGGTGCATTGTGTGCAATATAATGGTGCTGAGCGGTTAACTCACTAATCCTGCTCCAAGTATGCAAAAAGGACACTCCCACTGCTCACGCAATGCTTGCAACAGACTTGAGCTAAGATGCGAATGCAGCGGTGCTCAAAAGTGACCAGCCTCTTAATGTCTGTCGATCTGCAGGGAAAGTTTCACAAGCGTATATTAGGGTTGAATTGACAGCTGCATTGTACAATCTGCACTTCGGAGAGAGACTGCGGTCCTGTCTACCTCATAGGTGGCGGCGATCGACAAAATCATCTCCAGCTATTGCTAACCAATGTGGAAACTCAGCTTTGAGCCCACAGATGGTAATTTAGCTGATCAGATACCTGAAAACCTGAGCGAGTTTCAGCAGATAACAACAAAGAGTCAGCGCAGGAGAGGCACGCGGTCAATATTGGATAATAATTGCATTTCAATAAAGCAATGCATAGCCCAAGACAATTGGCCACCATTGGTAATCTGCTCAGTGTAGACCAGAATGTTTCGAAGCTGCCACATTTGATGGCAGTGTCGTCTGCATACTTCCATTCAATAAGTATTTCTACGGTAGGTAGCTCCACACATTTCTGTTCTTGTCTAGCAAACACCGTTTCCATGATTTCATGAATAGCGAAGCTAAAGTAGAAAGGCGACAGCGGGCAACCTTGTCTTAACTAGCTGGAGATATTGATGGGCCGCAGCAGTTTGCATAAACGTTTCCTCAGCCCGATCTAGGTGCGTACAGCGCGTTGATAATGGTTACATATTTAACGGGCGCACCTTTCTTAGCAGACAGTCCCAAAGTACACATGGATATACCGAATGAAACTTATATTTGACATCGTACAGCACGAAAACGGTGGGTCGCAAGTAAACATGGTGGTGCGCCAATAATTGACGTAAGGTGGATAAGCGGTCGGTGTAGCCTAGAATTTAACGAAACCCGGCTTGCTATTAGCGGATGTGGCATTCAGGAAGCCCCAGTCCGCATGTGGAGAAAGACAGAAGTAAGCAATTTAGTGACACTGGTAATCTGGCGAAGTAATCAATGTTTGCCTCATTCCTAACGGATGCAACCCTTGAAAACTGGATCTAGAACGGAGATGCTCTAGTCTGTCGGGGCAGTTTCCTGCTCCAAAATTTCTATTAACAACTTGTGTAGGAACCAAACAAGAGCTAGGAATCCAGAATTTGAACTGAACTGGTGGTAATCAATCTGTACCTGCGGTCCTGTGCCTATTTAACAGCCTGAGCTTGAATTCAAATTCTGCGCATAACGCAGGATCTATTAGAAGGCAACCCATGGAGAAGCGCCTTCAATATCCGAAAGAGAATGCGATAACAGATTGTTTAAACAGCCTTGTAAAACGTTCGGCCTAACGTTCCAAGCGTTTTGACTAGCTGCGGAAAGGCTGTCCACTCTCATCACGTATTTTCTTGCTAAAACTGGGCCTCCATAGTCTGTTTTCTGTATCAGACGGAATACCTTATAACGATTACCAGCGACATCATCTATTTCCATTTACCATGCCCGATATGACCACCATGCTTCGCGGTCACTCTTCAGGTTAGCATGCAGTTTTGCCCCAAGACGCATGCAAGTCTCATTGTATTAGCTACCAACCGGAATAAGTCGGCAAGTATGCCGAATTTGCAAAGTCTTTGTAGAGGTCCAATTGCTAGGTTCGCAATTTGATTTGTCACATGAAGACAGCCCTGCTATTTGTAAAGTGTAAAGAATATGAGAACAGTGATCTTCGACGGTGTTTAATGGACGCTTACACTGCCAAGTTGCCAGTGTAGTTTGATATACATTTATACTGCCCGGCTCCGGCAGCTAGTTAGTATCCATTTTCTCACATCGACTTTGTGAAGGTCCGCAGTATAGCACCTGCAGGACGGCAGATCCGAAAGCATGATCGGAGTCCAAGCTGATGCGACCAGCCGAGCGAAATATGGAACACAACCACTGCAGCGGTAACTAATTGCAACGCAATCGATTTGCGTACATGGTTGGCCCGAGACTGATGGGCGCAAATTCACTCTTCTGCGGGTGCAGTGACAAAAGTGAAGGGTGGGTACGAACAGACGAGCAACTTCACACAGGTGTAGCCACCGCTTACCGTTATCATCAAGCAAGACTACCTCATGTCAAACGCCAAGATGACGTTCGTCAGGTAACAATTTTCCGACTTGTGCGTTTAGATCAGCAGTAAATGCCACAGTATCGCGCTACTTTTGTAAAGAAAGCAGCGCTACCAAGAAGATAAAAATACTCTTTCTTCGAAGCAGGGCTGCCGTTTTTGGGGGGTGTAAGCCACAATGACCAACATGCACCGTTTGTTTTCGCGCGACTACGAAGCCTGGAATGAACCAGCCTACCTAACCGCGTAAATCCGGCTGTTTTTAAGGATCCAGTCAAATAGGGCAGCTTCAGACCGTAGATTGAAAAGAATGCTGATGCAAGTTTGACCGGCATTTGAAGCTGCATCATCACCTAAAAGCGGTTTAAGTATTTGCCGCCAGTATCGCTTATGAGGGATCGCAGATAACTACGGAACTCGTTCCTTGCAGGTTGTTTCACATAACCATTAAATAATGATTGAGTGGGCCCGAGTTTTCTGGCGAGTGCTGCATTTTCGCTAGGCTGTAGCAAAGTGCACACGTTGAGGCATGCGGATCCTAGGGAGTATGAAGGACTAAATAGGAAATCTTATGACCGGATGTGCCTGCTTAGTTGAACATGGACTTGTTAACTGCATTGGAACGACCCACTGCGATTGTGTGTGACTTGAAATTGAAAGACAAGCAACTG